AAAAATCCGTGTGTAAAGAAAGAAAACACGCGATCATTTGCCTAGATCGGCTCCACGTAATGAAATCCAACACAGCCTTGGATCCTGCATTCCACGGATTAAGGATTCCATTCACTAGATTTCGATTCTTTATCATTGGAACTAAGATTGCGAACGCTAAAAGTTCTTGGAATTCCGGATTCCTTAAGAGGTATTCCGGATATTCCACAAGCAAAATTTCCCGGATCCCTGATTCCTGAAGAAAAAATTTCCTGGATTCCGGAATCCGCATTCCCTTGCACGTTTTTTCTTTCAATTTTTCTTACAAGCATGTACCATGACACAAGAGTAAAATTCTCTCTTTTGCGCGTGTGACGTAATATAATCAACTGAAATTACAATAATACGTGTAACGAGCCTACATCATAAACTCATTTGAGTTTTCTGAAAAGAAGAGACTTTGATATGATTGTTTTTTTTTTTCCCGGAGTTAAAAAAAGTAAACAAACCAAAAGGAAAAGAAAAAACAATGGGATGAAAAATTTGCAACTTGTCGTAATCGACGTCATAGTCGCCTGCATTTGGCCAGTGGTTTTCCGATGGCGGTAAATTTGTGAGACCACCATGTTGGCATCTTTATCGTCTTTTTATGACAATATTCGCTCATATTCTCGGTCTGGGAGGAAAGCAGGTGATAAAAGACGAAGGGAAAGGTATTCTCCCATATTTTATTTTATAATAAGCTTTGTAATAGCGAGATGGGTGGCGTAAATTGTGTGTATAATTGACTGACAGTTCGACGTCTGGGGATATCAGAGCAAGTCAGTAGTGTTGTACGATCAAAGAAATTTTGAAACTTTGCCTTCAGAAATCGTACTATGTGTCTTACTCAGGGTGCAGTGAGAAGTTGTAAGCTCAAATTATATTGCACCGAAGATAAGGCGGGTTTGATTTGTGCGGATATTCAGGGTTCGCAGAGGTAGGTCATAGAAAACCTGGAAAGTCATGAAATTTGCCTCGAATGTCATGGGATTTAATTGTTGGTCATGGAAAATTGAAGTTGTTTGTCAGATTAGTCACTGCAGACGTCAAAACAAGGGCAATGTGAAATATAGAAACAGGTAATTAGGTTAATGGTACACATTTTGGTGGACAGCAAAGATATATCTGTTGTACTGTTAGTAAGGTCAAAAAATACCCTAAAACGAGGATAGTTTTGATAGTTTTTGAAAGTGACAGCTACACTGTATACCTAATATCATTGAAAACGGGAAAAAGGTCACAGAAAAAGTCATTGAAGGGCTCAAAAGAGATTACAAACCCTGTTAATAATCCTTGTACTGCTGGTAGTCAATTTGCTACCGTGTGTAAGCTGTCTTATTTTTCTCTTGCAAGGGACGATGATGATGTCATTATAACGGATGTGCTACAGGTCAGAATTATTTTGCCCTCAGAATGTATAGAGGGTATTACATGGGCGCGGAGATACAAAATTTCTCTTCGAGTGTTGAAAAATATTTCACGAGTGAGCGCAGCGAACGGATGAAATATTTTTTCCAACACGAGAAGAGAAATTTTGTATCTCCAGGCGACCATGTAATGTTCTATTTATTATGTAAACACCAATGAAATGCCAAACCATTTTACTTAAATAGTTTTTTGGTCTGAAAGGTGCGGTTTATTATGAAGCCATAGCAATGGTGATATTTTCACATGTGAAGATACGGTATCAAGTTTTTCGCACGAAAGCTTACTTGGTATTTCATTGGTGTTTATATAATAAAGTCCTGTATTAATGATGTGCTCTCAATAGTTTGCCTCTCCTCATGACTGTCATCGTTGACCTTCTTTGCCTCGTGTGCATTTGATTGTGAATTCCAGATTTGTTGGTTTTAATTTGGACCATGTTTTGGCCAGTTGAATGTCAAATCATCTGTTTCATTGTGTCTGAATGCCTTTTATTTATGCCCAAACATGCAAAAGTAAAAGCCATTAAACCATTATGCTATTTTCAAGGAATAATCAGTTACTGTGTTCACCACCTTATAGGTTAACCCCCCCCAACAAATAATCAGTGACTGTGTTCACCATCTAATAGGTTAACCCCCTATAAGTTTGT